GAGAAAAGAAAAATGAAAAGGAAACTTATACTTAACATCAGGAAGAGACCGTTGAAATTTATAAATACGAAAAATAAAATCTTTGCTAGCTTGGTTATTGAATCCTTATCCACTGATATGTGACACTGAGATACGAAGACTCATTGAGATGGTCAAAGATGTATTCAAGAAGCTAAGCAGAGTATTAAGAGATAGGAAAACTTTGTTAGAAACAAAAAAAAAAAAAAAAAAAAAAAAAAAAAAAAGGTACTGAATTGTTATATGATATCTGTCCTACTGTATGGCAGTGAATGCTGGACAATTTTCTTCAAAGATGAAGAAGAGACTTGAAACAACAGAAGTGTGGTACTACAGAAAGCAGCTGAGGATGCCATGAACCGAACATGTGAGCAATGATGAGATTTTAGAGAAAATGAAAACTTATACTTAACATCAGGAAGAGGCAGTTGAAATTTCTGGAGCACTTAAATTGAGGAAGGAGTGCTTGGAAAATTTATTACTCACAAGACGGCAGGTGGGGGTGCAGAGAAAAACAACACAACATATTTGATAAGTTTGAGAGGAAAATGGATTGCAGAACAGGGTTTTAGAAATAACAGACAGAATTTATTTAAAGCTGTAATGGACAGGAAATTGTGGAGAGCCATGATCACCCAAAATAGATGCTTTCATTATAAACCTGTCTTACAATGTGTAGAAAAAAGCCAGATGATAATGCAGATAGAAAGTCGAAGCTAAATTTAAACTCTGCCTTTGTTAACAACCCGACTGACTCTCTCACATTCCGACTGACTGACTGACTGACTGACTTGTTCAATTTCTATGATGCAAATAGATACTGATACTTATCCCCTGGACAATCTCTCAGACAAAAATTTAAATTCTTCCCCACACACACAGACAATTTTCTCACCAAATTATTTTCCTGGCTTTGCTTAAAATACGTCTGAGAAACGGTAACTGTTGGAATTTGTATCATTTACATAGACGATTAATTATTCAACAGTCAGCTATTTGCTGCAGAAAGTAGCAAAAAATGTTTCTTTGAAACAAAATATCTTTAACCTCCGAGTGCGATATAATAACTGTTTCCTTTTATCAATGGACCATCAGCATGAAACCAAAGATTTACTAAAGCTGTCTGGATAGTGATGAGGAATTTTAAAGGTATTTTACAATTTGGCAGTGTCTGAGAACCATCAACGGTCATTTCAGAAGTTTTGAGAGTTTTTTTTTTTGCTTTTTTTAGGAGGGTCTGTTATAACTGTCCTAGATTCTTGTAAATTTAGTATATCATTACTAAGCATCGAATAAGCAGAGCCAAAAAGTTTTTCTTATTCCAGATTGACGGCTATATCAGTTGTTTGAATACACCTGACTAAATGCTGCCTCCCACAGCTGACTAGTTTGCAGAATGTAATCGGTATGTGAAGCAAATCTGGAAGCTAGCTATGCAATATAGTTTTGTATTGTGAGAGATCGGCATCAAAAATGGGCATCAATCTCCCTAAAGTCCAGGCCTTGCTTCTTGTGACTATTGGTTGTTCCCCGAACTGAAAAAAGAACCTCAAGGGTGGTTTCTGTTTTATATATATATATATATATATATATATATCCAGGTAAGATGAGAATGAATAGAGTACAATTCCAGCATTCATAACATCTAATTTAAAAGAGGACTCAATACGAAAGAGTAATATTCTTTATTTTAGGATATTACATTGAATAAACTTGCCAAAATCGCTACACAATTGCAGTTGTGTTTCGATGCATATCAACACATCTCATCAGGAAAATCGCCTGATGATTTTGACATGCAATATAATATCCTAAAATAAAAGCATATATATATATATATATATATATATATATATATATAATCATTTATTTAAAAATATGATTCCAACATGCTACATACGAGTTCTCATGTTTCAAAACAAGGGCCGAAAACTTCAATTATTTGAATTAAATTGAATTAAAGTAAGCTCTGTTCCATAAAAAAAAATTTCGCTTGAAAATGGAACAGAGCTTACTTTAATTCAATTTAATTCAAATAATTATATTGAAGTTTTCGCTCTTGTTTTGAAACATGAGAACTCTTATGTAGCATGTTGAAACATATTTTAAATAAATAATTATATTTATGCTCTACTTTTGTATCGAGCACTATTTTTTAAAATAATAACAAAAATACTAAAGAACTTTGGATTATTTACCTAACGAGTTCTTTCCTATTTTCTATATATTTTCACACATATATATATATATATATATATATATATATATATATATATAATATAAAAAAAAAGATAAATGAAAAATAATTTTAGTCTGTGCTGATGTGTTTCATCATTCGACTTTATCAAGGCAAGTGATGATAAATAAAAAGTGAAATGTGTAGTTGCATCAAATTCAAAATTTAAAACAAAGGACACTCCTGTGTAAGCCTTTTTCTGGATGTTCATTACTTTTTTCTTTCTTTTTTTTTTTTAACAAAGAGTTTGTTTTTGTTTTCCATGTTGACAATATTGCTAAATTTCTCATGAAGATAAGAAAAATTAGATAAAAAAAGACAATTAGAAAATAGTTCTTAAAAAATATATATATTAAATATTTTAATAAAATATTATTTATTAAATAGTTCTTATATATATATATATATATATATATATATATATATATATATATATATATATATAGGTTCCTGTTAGAGAATGCATATTTTCTACAAAATTTCTTGAACATTCAGGCAGGTAAATATAATTAATACTGTTTAATTAAAGACTGAACATTTATTGTATCTATAAAAATAACATATAAACAGAATATATATATATATATATATATATATATATATATTTTTTTTTTTTTCTTAGATGAAGTATTGTAACTATTTACATCATACAGACTGTTGTCCTCATCTTTATTACCATATTCATGACATTTCAGCCATTATATGTTCCGACCTTTTATTTAGTTGACCTTTTCTTTTTTTTTATTTAGTCCACACGGGTAGATTGTTCTAATTTCACATGCCATGTCATTTTTTGAATATTTCAGTATCACTTAATTCCCTTTAGTATACTTGACCCAGTGGAAAAATGTGTTGGTTGAGAAATTCAAAAAGTGACTTGGCCCAAAAGAATTTTGAGTTCAATATCTGGCCACAGCAAAGGGATCAAAAACTTGCAGAGTTGAGTTACTAAAGGGAATTAACTGATACTGAGATAGCCAAAAAAAAGGTATGGCCCGTGGAATTAGAGCAATCTACCACAATGGACTAAAAGGGGTTCAGTTTGAAATTCCAACATATATCATGTGAAGAAGGTTGGAGCGTACAATGGTTGAAAGATTGGGAATATGGCAATAAAGATAAGGACAAGTCTGAACGAAATAGTAAAAATAAATAATATTATTTATAAAAGTCTGTAATTTATCAGTGAATAGAATTTTATTTGTTTAGTCTAATATTCAGGAAGTATTGAACAGTAACAAGAAAATACAGAGCAACAGAAAGTTTTGGATATTTTAGAAGTACAATGCATGTTTTGATGATACAAATAAACCAGTTGATGAATAAAAGTCCATAATTAAAGAAAACTGGATATAATGAGAGAGAGAAGATATGAACTTCCATTATTCCACATCTATAAAATACCGTCTGTGTCCAGATATATACATATATGTAAAATACATATATATGTCATCCACAGACAGACTGTTTCACTGTATCACAGCTCATCAGTGTGCTACCAGTTGCTTCAAGCTGGAATCAAAACCCAACCAATTTGGCATCACTCAGTTAGTCTATCCCAAGCTCTAGTCGCATGGCAGAGCGAAAGGGAAATTTTAACGTTTTTACTATGTGAAAGACATCAGTAGCTAGGAGAGCTCAATTTGAGTAGAAGAGCATTGCATTGTATATATTTTATACAAATTATAAATTATTTTACATTTTTATCAGCATTATTCTTCAAAAAGTAAAAGGCCAATTACATTTTATTCAATTTTATATTCACCATTATTTGCAATGACTTTGTGCCACTTATCACTTATTGACACCTTTTTAGTAAAATTCTGCAGATTTTCATGTGGAAAATTTGAATGAAATGTGCCAACAATCCTATCAGAAGTACAACATTGCCTCCCTTGTAAGGAGCTTAGACTTTGGGGTCAGATACGGAGATTTATTCTTGGCAGTTCAGTGGCTTCATGCATTGAACATTATTGTATGCAACCCACTTTTCATCACCTATTCTGACATATTTAAGGAATGGTTATTTAGGATGATACATTCATCATTAAAACTGTTTCCCCAAAAAAGGAAATTACTTATGAATTAGTCTATATTTCTGAGATGAGGTATTATGTACATTATTTACATTATTTGGACTATTGTCCTCATCTTTGTCACCATATTTATCACAACGTTTCGGCCGTTGTACGCTCTGGCCTTCTTCTAGAACAGTCTACTCCAGTGAGCGAAATAAAGGGTTCAATTTGACATTCCAACCACCTGAAGAAGACCGGAGCATACAACGGCCGAAACGTTGTGATAAATATGGTGACAAAGATGAGGACAATAGTCTGAATAATGTAAATAATGTACTTATAAATTAACCTTAATATTTAATTTCCAGGAAGTATTGAACGAAAATGAGAAAATACAGAGAAACAAAGTTTTTGATATTTTTAGAAGCATAATGCATGTTTTGATGCTACGAGTAAACTAGTTGATAAATAAAAGTCTATAATTATATAATGGCGAACAGAATGTCATTTGCTTAGTTTAATAGTCAGGATGTATTGAGTGGAAACAAGAAAAGGCAGGGCAACAATATTTTTAATGTTTTAGAAGTACAATGCAAATACAAAATCACCTCAACCTTCCTGTCATTTTTTTTTATAGTAAAGGTAAGTTCATAAATAAAAAAAACTAAAGTAAGTTATTTCATTGAGGTGGTATGAATGACAGGTAAAAAGCATGGCAATATACTTACCACAGAGTTTACGTTGGGAAGAGATGGAATAGGTATCTCTATCGCAACCTTTTCCAATGTGTTTGGTCGTGAGGACCATGCGGACAGAGACTTTTTCAATACTGTATGGCTTGTCACATAAATCTAGATGAGCATTCTCACAGATCTTATGGCGCCCAGAGTTGGGTATATATTCAAGACGTTGCGGAATATCTAGAAAAATATACAAATTCGGAAAAATGATTAGCATGCATAAAAAGATGGACATAAAACCAGCAGAACATTTTGTTAGCCACTCCCAACCACCACCACTCACACACACCAAAAGATAACAATTCATAATCTCATACAATATAAGTCTACTCTTATGTCTGGAATAAAAGGGCAAGTCACAATAAAAAATTATATTTTGGAAAAAAAAAAAAAGAATAGTCTAAGTTGGGAATAAAAGGGCAGGCTGGAAAGTTCATTCAAAATTAATTAGTTTTCAGAACAAAAAGTGAGAGGGGGGCAAGTCGGAATAAACTGACAGGTTGAAATAAACAGATAGGCTGGTGAAAGTAGAAAATAAAATGGTGGAGTTGGTGGCCGTTTGGAATAACTGAGTAGGTGTGAAAAAAAAAAAAAAAAAAAAAAAAAATGACCAAAATGTAAATCGTCAAGCAGACTAGTGTATTTCATGTCCAGAGTTGGGTATATATTCAAGACATTACAAATTATCTATAAAAATATACAAATTTGGAAAAAAAAGATTAGCATGCACAAAAAGATGGACATAAAATTAGCAGGACATTTTGTTAGAACACCCCCCCCAACCACCACTATCACTCAAACGAACACCAAACGGTAACAATTCATAATCTCATAGAATAGAAGCCTACTCTTAAGTCTGGAATAAAAAGGGTAAGTCACAAAAAAAAGGGGCAAGCTAGAATAAAAAATTACATTGTGAGGGATGGAGAGAGTCTAGGTTGGGAATAAAAGGGCAGGTTGGAAAGTTCATTCAAAATTAATTAGCTTTCAGAAGAAAAAGAGAGGGCGGGCAGGTCAGAATAAATTGACAGGTTGAAATAAACAGATAGGCTGGTGAAAGTAGAAAATAAAATAAATGGTGGAGTTGATGGCGGTTTGGAATAACTGAGTAGGTGTGAAAAAAAAAAAAAAATGATCAAAATGTAAATAGTCAAGCAGACTAGTCACACATTTCACACATGAGAAAACAAGAGCAGGTTGGAATAAAAAGGTAGGTTAGAAATTTAATTCAAATTTAACCGGGTTTTCAAAACAAAAACAGAGATGGGGAGGTCAGAATGAATTGACAGGGTAAAATAAAGCAGCAGGCTGGAGAAAGTTGAAAATAAAAATAAAATAAATGGCAGTTGGGGCGGGGGGGGTAGAGAAAGATTGAAATAGCAGTGAGTAGGTGTGGAAAAAAATGACTAAGATTTAAATCAAGAAGACCAGTCTATTTCAAACATGAGGGTAAAAACAAAACAAAAATTAAAGAAGTTATATTTTCTTTTCCTCAAAATCAATTTATGGTGGTCAGAATCAAATTTGGACAACAATTTTCTTTTCAAAGAATCAAAAATCTTCCTATTTTGGATTAGTCATCTGATAGTTGCATCTTTCACCAAAAGAAGAGGATATTGCTGTCAAAGTTTAAAATAAGAAAAAAAATTACCAATATAGAACATATTATTCCAAGACTTTTTCAGCAGTCTCCATTAGACCAAATTTTACATAAGTGGAAAGTGATATATTAAGTTTAATTTGTTAGAGTATTTACAAGGAGGGTTAAGGGTCTTTCAGGTTTATGGTGAGGACAAAAGAAAATCATTTGGAATTTTTTTTTTAATTCAGAAGAAATGTTAACTTAATATTTCTTTCCTCCCCTCCCATTCATACTTTAAAAATTATGGACATTAGGTTAGGCATGGGTTGAGGATAAAGAGTGAAAATGGCTTTTAATGATGATCCCAATAATAAATTGCAGTTAAGAATTTAATGAAATTTGCTTTAAACAACAACAACTACATGTATTGTTTCAAATAATGTTATCTAACATGAGATTTATCATTCCAAAACCAAGTGAACTATGTTATTGGCTCTGTTACTGTAAAACAAAAAACTTACTTTATATCAATATATGTCATATGTTTATAACAAGAATACCAACCTGTTCACACACATTTTATCACTACATACAATATGCCAACCTGTTGCCATACATTTTACCATGACATACAGAAGGCCAATCTGTTGCCATACATTTTACCATGACATACAGAAGACCAACCTGTTACCATACATTTTATCATGACATGCAATATGCCAACCTGTTACCATACATTTTATCATGACATGCAATATGCCAACCTGTTGCCATACATTTTATCATGACATGCAATATGCCAACCTGTTACCATACATTTTATCATGACATACAATATGCCAACCTGTTGCCATACATTTTATCATGACATGCAATATGCCAACCTGTTACCATACATTTTATCATGACATGCAATATGCCAACCTGTTTGCCATACATTTTATTGACATGCAATATGCCAACCTGTTACCATACATTTTATCATGACATGCAATATGCCAACCTGTTACCATACATTTTATCATGACATGCAATATGCCAACCTGTTGCCATACATTTTATCATGACATGCAATATGCCAACCTGTTACCATACATTTTATCATGACATACAATATGCCAACCTGTTGCCATACATTTTACCATGACATACAGAAGACCAATCTGTTCCCATACATTTTACCATGACATACAGAAGACCAATCTGTTCCCATACATTTTACCATGACATACAGAAGACCAACCTGTTACCATACATTTTATCATGACATGCAATATGCCAACCTGTTACCATACATTTTATCATGACATGCAATATGCCAACCTGTTGCCATATATTTTATCATGACATACAATATGCCAACCTGTTGCCATACATTTTACCATGACATACAGAAGGCCAATCTGTTGCCATACATTTTACCATGACATACAGAAGACCAACCTGTTACCATACATTTTATCATGACATGCAATATGCCAACCTGTTACCATACATTTTATCATGACATGCAATATGCCAACCTGTTACCATACATTTTATCATGACATACAATATGCCAACCTGTTGCCATATATTTTACCATGACATACAGAAGACCAATCTGTTCCCATACATTTTACCATGACATACAGAAGACCAACCTGTTGCCATTAACTTTTTACTCTCCTTATCCAGATTATCTGTGCTGAACGATTACAACTACAGGTATCACTAAGTCTAAATCTATTAGCAAAAAGTCAATGTCATAATAAAAAACTGCAAATTACAAGTTATCTCTTCAATGGCAGTTAATGTGTTGAAAGTGCTCATTCAACAGACAATCTGATGTGTTAAAAAAAAACAAAAAAAAACAGGATATACAAATTAACTTTCTTTTTCTATGACTGCTATTGATGACACTAACAACTGCATTCCAAATTGCATTAGTGATTTTTTTTTATTATATGATTTCAATGGACAGTATTTTCTGCATTGGCATTTTTTTTAAGGCCAGGTCTACATTAACTTTAATGAAATAACTTTCAGTAATTTTGGAATGTTGTGCCCACAAAAAAAATATAGAGTGTGAAAAAGGACAGTTTTTCCCTTGACACTACTATTATTTGAATTACCTTCCCACCCCGGCAATGTTTACTGTTTTAAAAAGCAATGAATTGTAATAAAACCTAAACAAATGAAATATTTTATATATATATATATATATATATATATACACACACACACACATATATATATATATACACACACACACACATATATATATATATCTATAAATTTCAGATATAATTGAAAATGTATCTGCAAAAGGACAATATACATGAAAACAAAAGGAAAACTCATCTTAACCAATGCATTTCATCCTCTAATGGATTTTATCAAGGCAACTGTAAGGATTTTATTTTGCAACACAATATACCAGTATGATAAAGAGAGAGTGTGTGAATGGTAGGGCACAGGCAATTGACCACTCCCATATATATATATATATATATATATATGAGACAGAGAGGTTGCGATAAATAAATTAGTCTAAATTATACAAAAATGATAATAACATCTCATTTTAATTTATATATTTACCAAAATTACACAAAAATATCTTGAAATACGAAAGAGTAAATTTATTCAATAAAACCACCATTGGCTTCAACCATTGCCTTCAACCATTGGCTTCCAGATGACTTCAGAATCTCCTGCAACTCTTCTGGACGGTCTCCTTGTTTAAGTTGGTGAATGCTGCTATAATCCTTGCCTTCAGTTCATTTTTGATATTACAATGTTTTGTTGGGCTCTCACTCAAATATGCCCCACGTAATAATCAAGGGGGTTGCAGTGTGAAGGGGTGATGTGGTCTTAGAAATTGTCTGACAGCCATGATTGTGTTCTGTTGCTTGTGTGGCATAGTGCAGAGTCCTGTTGCCAGACATAGGGTCTTCCAGCAGCCACCCTCTTGGTCCAAGGCAGTACTACCTCCTCAAGACACTTGATGTAGGCCTCAGTGTTAAGTCTGAGGCCCTCACCAACAAATTCGGAAGTTCTTTTCTTATCCGAACTATCTGAGTGAGTTTTCCAAGCTGCCATACCTTTGTAATCACCATTAGACTCATCCAACTCTTTCCAAATCCTCTGCACTGTCCTCAGATTGACACCCAAACACTCTAAAATGTTTATATTGGAGCTTCTGGCATGAATGCCAAGCAGTACAGCATGTCATTTCCAAATTTCTGGTGGAGTGAATTGCTTCATGGTGCTCTTTTTCTCGCCCTATACCCCCTGAAAAGTGGATGAACAGGTCCATCTATGAATGAAGTTGGGATGCTGAAGGTAACAAATTTTACTCACATGAATCCTAGATAAGTAAACATTGAAGTCAACAGTCGTAACAGTCTGTTTCATGCTGAAATACAATTGTCAGGTCATGTGCATTGTGTTTTAGCTCAACTATTTATATATGCTAGAGAGTGATGCATTATGGGTAGGTCTGTTTCAGTAGGGGTTTGTAAACCCAAATGGAGCAGGAGTTTGTGCTCTGTCCCACTTTCTTTTGAGTCAGTTTGCAAACACAAGTGTAATAATAAGACGGTGAAAATGAGGG